TACCAAGTAATTTTAACAAAACATTTCGGATTTAGACCAGAATTTAAATTTTTCGCATTTTTTTTTACGTTGAGACAACATGTACGATTTTACAGTGCACAAACGCACAACTCTTCTCCAGCCTACACACGCAAACATAAGCACAAACACACAACCTTACACGCACAGACACTTTCCTCACACGCAAACTCAGCGGGGTGTTGAGAAAATGCGATGTAAGGTCGCGCCTCGTCATAAATGATGAACTCCCTCCTGAATTTCAATGAAAAAAAAAAAAACCTGCCTGAAAGACACTTTTTTTTCTTTTTCTTGTTGGAATAAGGCGCGTGGGCTGACGGGGTGCTGTCACTCGCCCGTGGTGCTGAAGCTCGCGGTGCTGAAAGGACAGCTCCGCACGCGCGCCTACACGAATTGCGTGCTCACTCTATCGGCTTTCTGTGGTGTTATTAAACCGAAGCGATGATGGGTCAGAAGCGAACTTACAGAAGGAAATGAAAAACATGCCCCCAATGTTCTCTTATTTAGGCTCTGGCAGTAAATCGTTAAAACGCTGTTATAATATCCCCGCAGAAAGTTTAGATTACGAGGAGCCAATCACAATACCCTCACTAAAGGGCTATTTATAATTCAAACGCTCTATTCTCGGTTATCCCTTCTAAATAGCAGGGCTTAACTGGGACCATTATGGTGCTGTTTCCAGCCCACACCGTTGTCACTCTGCCGCGGGGTAAAGAACCGCTTCTGCACTAAAACCTCCGGTTTGACAGGGACAATCCCCTCTCTAGACAGGCGCTCTTTGGAAGACGGAGGTTTTGGATGGTTCTACCTTGGCTGTACTCTGCTCTGCTTTGTCCTTGGAAAAAGGCACAAAACGTTCAGGAGGAAGACGTGCTGTGATAGGATGAACGCACCTGAGAACCATAGAGTTTAATAGTCTGATAATAAATTCTAGATGCTTTTCGCCCCTTCTTCCCTTTTTCTACTTTTCCAAGCAAAATGCAGATTTTTTCCCTCAAAAACTTAAAAATTATATATGTATATATGTTTTGAAATAAAAAAACAATAGTAAAATACAAATAAATAATTCATCAAAGAGGAAATGTTACATACAAAATGAAAATAATCCTAGATTACACATAGATTAGATAGATAGACAATTTTTTCCGCCCATGATACTGAATACTGCTCTATATTCTACTGCACATAAATTTAATGATATTTTGAGACTTTATATATATATATAAGTACTACATTGTTGGAGAATATTTACTGAGTTGCATATAGAAAAATAAAAATCCTTTGGAAAAAAAAAACTGCAAGTACGCAGCATGGTTAAAATGAATGTATGTACAGAAAAGGCAAACCGCAGCATCATTAACACCTAAATAGAGGAAAACAAGGATCCAGTGGGCAGAGGAGAAGCAGTCATGGAGTGTAGGTGATTGGCTGGAAGTAGCATTTGGTGATGAATCCTGGATCTGCTGACATATTGGCAACATAGAGGATACTGGAATGATTGTTTGGTGGCAGTCTGAAAGAAAACAAACATCACATTTCCAGGCTCAGTGAAGATTTGGATTGCATGTCAGGTGAAAGGAGAAGTGGAACGACTCCTTAATAGCTAAAGCAAAGGTGAACACTGACATTTTGGACACTTTTTTCATTTCATCCATCCAATGAATGAATAAATGTTTGACATTTCATTAATATTTATGTACACTGGCTTTTATTTGGACATGGAATTAAAGCATAAAAGACATATGGGACATCTTGAGGATTTTTTTTTTAATCAATGCTTAGTTGTGGTTTTTTCGTTGTCTCCCTGTCTGTTAGGGTATGTCTTTTTATTCTGCTTCTTCCAAAGTGTGCAAACCTAATTACTTTAACATAACCATCAAAGTAGGCTCCATGATAAGGAAATCACGGAGCTGCATGATAATAAAGGGGGCAAAAACTGCTATTTTCTTTCTGTTTGTACAAGAGATTAAGAGAAATCATAGTTGAGAACCAATTTTAATGTTATAGTGGAGCTTAAAAATGGGGGGGTTATTCACAAAGATCTGAGAAAGCAGGAGAATCTGAAAGTGTTGAAGTAGGTTTTCTTTAAACCAAGGCTGTTTTTTCTATGACAACATTCTGACATAAAATTAGGAAAAAATAATAGCAAAGTTTAAATTGTGTGTGTGTGTGTTTTTTTTTTTAGTTCTTTGTATCAGTTTTATTTCTGGGAAAATGAAACTGATACGAAATTTTAATTGTGGTTGATGTTTTTTAGTTCCTTCTATCAGTTTCCTTTTTATCAAAAATTAAATCATTATAGCATCAATAGATGATCCTCACATATGACAATTAGTGAAGCTTCACTCAATATTTTGTGAGTCTATCTACGTTTTTACATGTTGAAAGACAATAACCTAAAGTGAATTCACACCACTACACTAAACTGACTCCCTAACATTGACAATGGGGGTCCACCACAGTAGGATCAGACTATTGGTCCTCAGAAAGTTAGTAAATATACCAAAACGGTTTTCCATATAAACCACCAACAGCTTTCTTAGGTTTAGTTCTCAAAAAGAGTTTTCCAAACTCTTAGCCAGTTTAATTTTCTGAAAAATCTGGTTCTTCCAGATGTTTCTAGATTGGATATATCATACATAGTTATGACAAGACAAAAAAATCTTCAATTTTAATTTTAGTTCTTCATACGGAAGAGGATAAGAGGCACTGAAAAAAATAAAAAAGTTAACAGATTTTTTAATTTATGTCAGTATGATATGAGAAAAAATGTCAGAATTCTGTGTCAGAATTCTGAGATTAAAGTCAAAATTCGGACTTTTTTTCATATTATACTGAAATAAAATTTTAGAATCCGTTTTTATTTTTATTTATTTATTTTTTTTACATTTTTTCAGTGGCCCTAATCCTCTTCCTTACTTCTTTCTATGCTCATTGAAGTTTTGAATTTTTGTCATGCTAACTGAAACACATCCAGGAGAGGGCGCTATAACTGAACAGAGCACCTGTCACTCCACAAGCTTCGCATCTGATTGACCAATGAGCTTCCAGAACGCTGACGCGAGGGGCGGGACATAAAGGCGCGACACGCAAACATGGCGGCGTCTACGGAAGATGATTTCGAGTTTAATACTCAGGACTACTATTCTCTTCTCAACGTGAGGAAAGAGGTATGTCTTTTTCTTAGACGTGTGTTAAGATATAACTCGTTTTGCTGTTTGACATTTTGTCTTTGACCCAAAATGGCGAACAATAGGTGCATCCTCCTCAGAGAAGGAGGAGGAGACCTAAATGCTGTCAGCACAGGCAGAAGCTGCATCTTTGCCTGGATGGATCCTAACATGGGAAGAGCTGCTAGGGATGTTCTCACTACATTACTGAGCGCCCTCTTAAATTTTACTTTTTTAAAATGAAAACTACAGAGGCTTTCAGTTACAATAATTCACATCATGGTGCTAAAAAAGCAAGCTAAAAGGTGTGACATCCTTGCATCTTCAGTGATGTAAACTGAACCTCAGCTTCCTGCCAAACCTTTTAGGATGTATATTTATGTCTGCTTTCAAGTATTTTATTTTATGCATATTCAGAGATGAGACTTTTTATTAATTTCTCTCTCCAAAATTGCTTCAGTTCAGTTAGAGTTGATGACAGGTCATTTTTCAAAGATTAACAATTAGATTTTAGTTTGAAGCTGTGGAGAGAAAATTGTTGAATGAATGAATGAATGAATGAATATATATATATATATATATATATATATATATATATATATATATATATATGTTGACTTCCACATCATTAATTTCTTTTAATTTTTAAAACACATTTTCATTCATTTTTCTTTTATTACGTTTTTTTTTAATTCCCATTATAATTCAATTCAGTTTATTTATGTAGCACCAGTGGTTGGCCACAGTGGTTAGAGCAGTGTGCTTGTGCTCTGAGAAAGTTGCAAAGACCAGGTTTGATCCCATCAGCCTGTACCCTCAACCCCAACACTGCTCCCCCAGGGCCACACAATGGCAGCCCACTGCTTCCCAAGGGGGTGGGTTCAAATGCAGAGAGGGAATGTCCCCATTGTGGGACAATAAAGGGATTTACATTTACATTTTAAGGCCCTTTACAGAAACAATTCAACCAGATCCTACAGTCAGATTGGTATTCTATCTAAAGAAAACCAGCTGATTGCATTGACTCCTTGACTCTTCAGCAATCCCTCACAATAAGCATGCTTTTAGTGACAGTGGAGAGGAAAACTCCCTTTTAAAGGCACACTATGCAACATTTTTCAGTTAATTAATGTGTTCCTTAACGTTTTGGATAATTAAATGAGTCATTTCAGGTTGAACAAAGGTATTCCCGGCCGCCAGTCTGACGCGCGTTGGGCGGAGCTTCACTATCCTTTCTCTGATTTGCAGCTATATTTGCTGTGATCAGTGGGAATAAAGTAGTTTTAATATGTTTTTAAGTGAGAAAATACACCTGAAAACGTAATTAGTGCAGTCAGTTCATTCAGATTATCATCCTGCCTTACAATATTTTTTCTGTCGGAGCCGCTCAGACCCCCACATACCAGCGGTGCGCCGACAGTAGGAATCCCTTCATCAGCAGCCTCTGGCCGGGTCGCCTCCTCGCGGTTCACCGCGGCAGCTGGTAGGTGTTTTTCATCTAAATAATCCAAACTGCAGGCAGCAGGATAATAAAAGCGAACATATTCTGCCGGCAGATTTCTGCATTTTAAGTTAATTTAGGCGTCAATAAAGGAGTCATCATAGTGCTCTGATCATCAGCGCTGTGTCTCTCTCCCTGCCAGCTCCCAGATCAGCTTCTCTGATTGGTTGACGCGGCGCGTCGAGCAGCAAAAATTCAATTTTTCCATCTCGAGCAGCAGTGCGTTTGCGGCGCGTCACGCACGTCAGATGCTTGCCATATAGTCATTCGTTGCGTTCGCCTGTCTGCTAAGCTCAAAACAACCGCGCCTGGCTTGACGGAGAAACCAGGAGAACAGCTGTGCATATTTACGACAGTGCAATTTTACTTTCGCCCTCTGGGGGGAGCCTCGCTGGAAAATCAACACCGGTTGCATAGTGTACCTTTAACAGGAAGAAACCAGCAGAACCAGGTTTATTGAGTGGACATCTACTGAGACCAACTGGGGTTCAAAAAGACAGAAGCAGACAAAGAAAAAGAAGCAGATAACAGGACTACACTGACAAACAGCGAAGCTCAAACATGTATAAACTAAGGTGTTGATGGCAGCAGCCCAGCTGATATTTCTTTCTGGGATGGAGTCACAGTCAAACAGGAACTGACCTACTGCTACTATGCTGAGAAAAAAGTAGAGAGAGCATAATGTTAGAGATTGAGCAAACAAACACTGCAGAATGGGAGAATAGAGATAGAATGACGAAAATGGGTCCCTATGTCCTCCAGCAGTCTAAGCCTATAGCAGCATAACTATAGAGATAGCTCAGGATAACCTGAGCCACTCTAACTATAAGCTTTATCAAAAAGGGCAATTTTAAGCCTAGCCTTAAAAGTAGACAGGGTGTCTGCCTCATAGTTTGCAACAAATCTTTCTCAAAGAAACAGAATAAATACAGAGAATAAATAAGTATAGTTTGAATGATAATAAACATTTCAATAATACCATCAAATTATTTTAGTTATGCTGGAACATAAACCTTTGCCGAAGCTTTCTCTGTCGCAGGTAACAGCTCCCACCGCATGATACTGCTAACTCTGTGTTTCACTGCAGCAACAGACTTTTTTTCCAAAGTTAAATCTAACATTTCCTTCCGAATACTTTATCACTTTATATGTCAACCACTTTAACAATATTTAATATTAAGATTATCCAAAGGTTTCTATAATAAAACGGAAAACCAAAGGCAAAACTTGGTCAGATAATCAAAGGTGAACGCACAAAACGAACTAACCTATAATTGGGAGATGGCACAAATTGATGCTGCATTTTTTTAGACTACTTTATATGGATAAAAAAAAAATAAGAAACTAAACCACTTAATAAGATATTTTCAATTAAACTCCCAAATTTGAATCAAAGCATCAGACTTAGAGAAATCTGTTCTAATTTGCTTGTTAGAAAAACATGCAGGCTTATTTCCTTTTCCCAAAAGAGAAAAGGAAGACTGACTAATTCCAAGAAGAGGCTCAATATAGTAATGAAGATGCTTTAATAAATGTGTGTATTACTGCTCTTGTAGGTATAATAGGCTTTATTTGTACGACCCACTCAACTGCCTAAAGCAGCATTTTACTACTGTGTTTCTCTGACTTTTTGGAGCTTAAGAATAGGATTCAATTTTTGTAACTCAAATTGGTGATAAGGCCTTTCTCATAGAAGGTCAGGGTAGAAAAGTCAATACTGAAAAGAATTAGCGCCGTCCATTTCTTGCTGTCAGCAAGGCAGTAAGGAGAGGCTGAACGGATCATCCTCCAACGTCCTTCAGCTTTAGAAAAACCCAGCAGTCAACTTCATACAGGAAAATGCTATGTTAAAAAAAAACAAAAACAATACTACTTGTTTAGAGGAATGACACTTTTCCTTCCTCCTCTCGCAGGCCACATTGGAGGAGCTGAAAGCTTCGTATCGGAGGCTATGTATGCTGTATCATCCTGACAAACATCGGGACCCTGAACTAAAAAGACAGGCGGAGCAGCTTTTCAATCAGGTTCACCAAGCCTATGAAGGTAAGAGAATGGACAATGAATGCCTTTATAGGCTTAAAGGGAAGATTTGTTAGATTTTAATGTAGTTATTGAATAGTTATGCACCTTTGAAGTGTTAAACTTGATGTAAAAAACTAAGATTTGCTCCTCAGTGCTGAGTGACGCTCACTCCAGAGCCATCTATGACATCTTTGGGAAGAAAGGGCTGGAGGTGGAAGGCTGGGAGGTCTGTTTTTATACTCTACCACACATCTGTTGCTTCAGTGTCCATATCCGTCACCCGTGCTGTATAATGACTTTGCGTAGGTGGTGGAGAGGAAGAGGACACCTGCGGAAATTAGAGAGGAATATGAAAGGCTTCAGAGAGAAAAAGAAGAGAGACGGCTGCAGCAAAGAACTAATCCCAAGGTTTGATTCCGTTTGATTTGATATTTTGGACAAAAAAAAAAAAAAAAAAACCCTCGACGATTTAATTAACTTATGACTGTTTTCTTGACGTTATTACCTCTCAGGGCACAATAAGTGTTGGCGTGGATGCAACAGACCTGTTTGATCGCTATGACGATGATTTTGAGGAGATGCCTGGAGGAGGCTTCCCTCATATAGAGATTAACCGGATGCATATTTCTCAGTCTATTGAGGTACATCAAAGCTTACCCTGTGAGCGATCCCTGTCTCCTTTTGTTGTTGTGCTAAAGTGACTAAACCGTCGTCTTTAGGCGCCTCTGACAAACACCGACACAGCAATGCTGTCTGGTTCTCTGTCTACGCACAACGGGAGCGGAGGGGGCAACATCAATGTGACCGTACGCAGAGTGACATCAGCTAAAGGCTGGGGAGAGGTACAGACCACCCGTACGGTAAAGTTTTTGAGCTTTTGGTCAAAGCACTGTGTTTTATTTCTGTTTCTGTTGATCTTTAAAGCTGGAGTTTGGTGCTGGAGACATACTGGGGCCTCTCGTCGGGTTAAAGTTGTTTCGTAACGTTACTTCGCGGTGGTAAGGCTCCAGCTTGTTGTATATTGTATCGGTGGCGGTAGTACGACTCCCTTGACGAATGTCACTTTTCGTTTCTCCATCCAGTTTCCTCACGGCTCAGTGCGGATTGCAGTTCTCGCCTCGAGGGCTGCGACCGAGCTGTTCTCTGATGGCGGCGCGTCATCTGGACCAGAACACGATGGGTTACCTTCAGTGGCGCTGGGGGCCCAACAGCGCCATGACCACCAGCCTGGTCAGAGACACAAAGAGGAGCCACTTTACTTTAGCTCTGCAGGTAAACACAAGCATAAAGTCCTGCTCCACTCAGCTTCTCTCAAATATATTCATGCACTCTGGCAATTTGTCAGATAATTGTTAAGCAAAGTTGCAGAGAAACTCACCTCTTTATGTCGCCATTAATAAGCTCCGAGCTTTAGTCTGACTGGATTCTGACCTCTCTTCTCCTCAGAACTGCTTGAACTAAGTAAAACTGCTTGGCTTCTTGTCAACCTGCTTTGCTCGTTCCAAAACCTTTTTTTTTATGTGTATTCAGGACAGGATTGTCCAACAGCCCTACAGGTTTTAGACCCTTCCGGTTCAGTT